ATCAATTCATTTCAATAAAGGAGTTATTCTGTGCCTGGCACTTTGCCAGACATTAAAATTGTTATTATAACTAAGATAAATGTCCTTGTTCACAAGGAGCTCACAGTCTAGTAAGAAAGAGATGAATTTCAAAATATATTAAAAACTGCAGGCAAAACACATACTCCCATAGAGGAATTCAACATTTGATTTCAAATTAGTTATGTAGTGAAACTTAGAAACAACAACAGAGACAGTATAAACGGAAGTTAATGGGAAACGACTCAGTAGTCAAACAAGTTTGCTTGAAAATGAAGAAGCAGAAACATATTAAACTGAACATACTTTTAAAATGATTGACAATATATTCCTGATTTAAATAAATCTACATTATGTGTAGTTAAAAACAAAATATGTATTTGTATGAAAAAGCCAGTTCTTTCATTTTTGGTTAATTCTTTTCCATGTTTTATATGTCAAGTTCAGACCTACTATATACACAAAAATTACATAAATAAATACATATTCCAAGATGAAATCACAATCACTTTAAGTACATTCACCTGTAAGAAGGCGAAAAGAAGAAGGCTTCCAATATCTTTAAACTTTGACAGGCATTTTCATTAATTATTTTATGCCTTACTGATTTTTTGAAAAATGAAATACGTACAGCCATGATTTAGGTCACGTAAAAACAACTGACTGCATCATCTCGGGGGTCGAGCAAAGCAACCTTTCTCTTTATTTCACAATCACAGTAATGGTAGTTGATACACCATGTGACGGCATCATAATTTGTTCAGTGGTCTTTAAGACGCTTATGGAACAAGCAAATCAACCACATTTTGATTTTTTTCACTTAAAAAAATAAAAATACAGCCTAAGATATAATTTATATTTAAAAAATAATTCTACAGATTAACCCCTAAATCCAGTCCCTGAAGAATTCTCGTAAAAGTTAGCTAGGTGGGTGTGGCTACTGCTAAGGAATTCTTATATCCGTTTTTTTAGTAACATGTCATTATGCATAACTTTTACCCCAACCATCTTACTTTTAATATTTGCCCAAATGTAATAATGGGATAAGAAAGAAATATTCATTGAAGGAATACAAGTAATACATACAATGTTTTCAAAAATTCCTAAAAAATGGGGAATTCTTCATCCTAGGAAATAGCAAACACACTAGTTTAAAATATCTGGAGGGAAGTGCTTTTAAGTAAAAAGCTTCAAATCAAATATAAATTTTAGCAACATTTGGAGAGATCCCGCTTTTCCATCTTTAACACAGAATTTCTGTACCTGACTCATGTCTAAGTAACGTGCGATCTCATTTTTATCATCCTCACAAAGGGGCCCACCGCAGCTACTAAGGCTTGCCCCCCATCACGATGGCACTGCAAACTTAGGACGTGGCTGTGTTTGGCTGAATCTAACTGAACACCTCAGTGACTGCAAATGCGTTTAGGGCCCTCTTCATGCAAGATTTTATTGTGACACACCAGTTTATCAAAACTTTTATTAAGTATGTTCTTATGGTAAATATACTTGATGAACCAAACGAATGAATACTGAGTATAGATTACTTTTTTTACACTTTTACAGAGCAAATTCCTAATAGCAAGCACTCTCCTCTTCACCACGAATCTTTTATTTAGAAGTCATGTTTTTTCCTGGAGTGGAATCAAAAGGGAAAAATCTAGAAATAATATCTATCTAGAGAAGACGGGGATGGAGGTAGACGGGATCTCTAGGATAAAAGAAACTCTAATTTTACTGTCGCCAGACACCTGTTGAAGATTTTAGGGTTAACTATTTTAAAGGACCATTTAAAAAGCAGGAACTTTTTGAGGCAGATCTTATGCTAATAATTTTAACTCATCCTTAGACTCTTGGATCAAGAAATATTGTCGAGATTTTCTCCTTAAGGTTATACAATGGCAATAGTTTCTTTACATGACTTAATTTAGCAAACTTGGATTGTGTGTTCTGTGCTCTGGCACTATACTTTCAGGAAAGTGAATGATGTTTCTAAAATAAAATATGAACATAAACCAAAAAATGAATTAATAGAATATTGACATATGGAGTCTATAAACACATTATCGGTGAGAATTTTTTTTAAGGACTTAAATATTGCTATAGCAACATATATTGTGCAAAATCATTTGTCTCACTAGTTATCATGTCCAATTTACTCAGAATTATTTGCTGTGGGAATAAGCAAATAGTCTTCAAATTAAATTTACAAATGTGATTTTGCAAAGTATGATTCAGTTAGGAGAAACACATTCATTTTGGAAATAAAGGATTTATGAAGTAAGGTTAGAAAAAAGGTCTCCAGGAAAACATGTTTTCACTCTATAAAGTTCACCGTCACAAACAGGATGGCTTATGTAGTGCAATGGGGAAAAAAGTGGGTTAAGAGTCAAAAGACCTGGGTTCTATTTCCAACCCTGCATTTACTCAAAGAACAGATACATTTTTAGGCAAAGCCCTTAACCTGATCTAGTCTTATTCAGTAAAAATGTAGATATCTAATCAACCTAATATAGAGGGTTGAGAAGATGAAACAAATTAATTAAATATACCTTTTGGTACATAAATATATCAAAAAGAGAATACAATACAAATCAAAATATAATTACATTTAATGCTTATAAAAGAAACACTTTAGTTCACATGTCCTCTCCCACTAAATTCAGAAATATTCATACTTTAGTTAGAAATAGAAAGTATGTGCTAGAAAAATAAAGTCCACTACACAGTATATCAGAAATTTGTACTCTAGCCAACAAGCTTTGTAGACTGGGTCTAACCTAACACCATTTTTTAGATGCATATGGGAGTGAAACAACAAGCCCAGAATGAAGGGCTTAGTCAGAAGAATATGTTTTAAAATTTCTGCCCGAAATTCATGTGAGATAAGAATCCCATTCTTTGGTGCATCTGAACAGTACTTTCTACCGAGTCAGGCCCTAGCACAATGCCGACTCTCAGCATTTTCATTCAGAGCTTCTCTAGCTGACTTCATCATATTTGGATTTAAAACAAAGAAAGAAAAATTTGTTTTGTTGAAATGGTAACAAATTTATGATCACTGAATAATTGCTTACTGAAATATTCCTGAACATTACTCACCTCGTTAACAAGTACATATGAAGACTGAAACACATGGAGATCATGCAAATAGGGGAAGTCTAACTAAACTCGAAGAAAGAAACAAAAATTCTGTCAAAAATGTCCATAATTAGATGAAAAACCTTAAAGAAGCTGACCCACACATTGTGAAAAATAATGAAAGGAAAATAATTTTTAATAATAATTATAGGAAAAAAAGGAGGGGGAGAAGGTAAAGCAGCACGCAACTGGGATGAGAGAAATAATTTGGTCTAAAACCATTCCCATATAGGGGCCGGCTCAGTGGCACAGCAGTTAGGTTTGCACGTTCTGCTTTGGCGGCCCAGGGTTCGCTGGTTTGGCTCCTGGATGTGGACCTATGCACTGCTTGGCAAGCCATGCTGTGGTGGGCATCCCACATATAAAGTAGAGGAAGATGGACACAGATGTTAGCTCAGGGATAAATTAAACCAGACGGTAGGACCCTGTAAGAGTTAAAATCTACAGCATACAACCAATTGATAGAAAAGAAGAGAAATCAGAACTACCAAAAATGATGTGAGTTCAGCAAATTATTCACTTTTTAATTATAAATATAGTTTATGATTTTGATTATACAAGCATTATAATTAATTACTGATAATTGGGCCTCTCAGCTTTTAAATGCATTTCTCAAACATGAAAAAAAGTGACATGAGTAAAGAAAAGATTGTAATTGCAATTTTTATCTCAATAGTTTTGACGCTTTTTGGTATTGTGAACCGTTGTGATAAGAAATCTACTTGGTATGATGTATCAGTGACGTCACTTCACAAGTGAGTCTACAGGATGATATGTAATGGTGTTATGCTCTGATGGTAAGCTTTGTTTCTCAAAGCTGTGAGGCACTTTAAGAAAATGAGTAACATCCAGAAGAGTAAGTGACAAGAATAGGAAGATCGATTTTTCTATATTCTTAAAAATCATACTCGATTATTTTTTATCACGCATAAGGAAGACTCATATTAACTAAAAGTTTTCTAGAATATAAACACCTTCCTTATCCAGGAAACCAAGCTGACAGGCCCTTATTTGTAAAGATGAGTGATCATGGCCAAAAGTATATACTGTTGGCTCCAGGAATATGGCCATTTCTGAAAATCACAAATAAATAAAACCAGATGCAGCATGGGTGACTGTGTGAAGGATGTAAGACATCAGACGTGCACTGTCTGAATAGACACTGTCTGAAATAGAACTAAGGAGAACAATACTCTAAGGATGTCAAAAGTACATGGAGAGGGCAGAAGCAATGGCACTTGTTTTCTCTATAGAACAACGGACAGAAAGGAGAATGACAATATAGATGTTCAGGGAAATGTGAAAAATGAGTTGGGGGCAGGGGCAGTTGCATTGAATGATGAAAATAAATATATACAGCATAGATAAACCAAATCATTTGTATCGCATAACTTTTTAAAAATTTTTTTGGTAGCTTGGGATAATCCTATATATGGGAATCACTATAATCCTGAATAAGATGTTTCATAGTAAGTACTTTTCATTTTTGAGCCATAACAAGTAGCAACCAATATGGGAATTACTTATCCATAAAGAAAATAACATTTTTCTTCTAAACCCAACCTCAGGGAAAATATATTACGCTGAGTCATATAAATATGTCATTATTTTTATGAAAAAAGTCACATTAAAACAATTACAGCTATTATATAATCATTACCATTATTTGGGATAATTTGCATTGGCTAGAAAGGCAGGCAACTTAGAATTATATATTCAGATTATTGCAAATGCAATTCCTAATAAACACTAAATAAATTATAATACAAATTACAGTTAAAGCTAATTGGTTTACCATACAGGGTTTAAATTTTTTGTATCTATATTTTATCTACATTTGCTTCTACAGCTTCTATTAGGGGACAGCATGCAACACCTAAGGGGCTCTCTCTGCTTTTAGACAAACCTGAGTTTTAGTTCTGGTTCTGTCACATACTACCTTTTAACTTTGGGTAATTTCCTGAACTTCTTTGTCTGTTTTTTTGTTTGTTTGTTTCACTCATCTATTATATCAGGCCAATAGCCTCTACTCATGATTTGGTTTGATTATTAAAAGGTATTATGCAGGCAAAATGTGTGACAAATAAATATTAGTTCCCTTCCCACTTTCCATCCTTTCTCCCTATTACATTGAGCCTAATGATCGTGATTTTTTATTTTGTTTTATTAAAAGTCTGCAACATTATACATAAGAGAGTGTTTTTGTTTAAAAAAAGATATTTTTAGATGGAAAATAAGTTTCAACTAACTGATTAAGGATATTTCTATATTTGATAACATCAATATAAAAACTTACATTTATATCACACAGCTTGTGGTCGTTTTTCTGTATCCTCAATTGTCATAAGCAGCCAGAGAAGGATGAGTAAAAAATACCTAGATTTTAAAGTGCACATTCAAATATATCAAACCTAATTATTTTACTTATTTCCTAGCATCCAGTGGGGGTTGGGGGGCATGAGATGACGTGGTTGGAACCTGGTACTAAAGAAGTGAAACTTACGAACCATGTAGATTTACATCAAGAAAACATCATGTTTTCCAACGTAAAATAGCCTAGAGTCTGACCCACTGCCTCTTAAATGTGTGCTGATTGGATCCAAAAAGGATCAGGAAAGACGGTGGGAACAGGTCAGGACAAGTCTATACTGAATATTCTATTCATAAATTAGTGAAGGCATATTTAAGGTTAAAGCGTGAAAAATAAGGGATACTCAGTTATCACAAACAGAAAAGTACTTGAACTAGCCAGTGAGCAAGAATTATTTTGGTATTCTGGTTTATAATAAGCTTCCTTCTGCACAATTCCATAATGGAGAATGGGATTAAATGGGACTAAAAACGATGTTAATGGTGTACTGACTTTGCTTGATGATACCTTGAACATCTAAAACCTGTCCTTCCTTAGGGGAAGAAGTATATTTTGCACGAATTGTTGCAGACACAGAAGCCAACTATGTTTCTTCCTCCATTTACGTGACTATTTAATAATGAATGCTCTAGGCTGATACTCTCTTTTCAATCTTTGAAAGATTCTGTTAAAGCAACAAATATTCCAACAAGTTCAAGGGAGGGGGAAAGTGAACAAGAAGGAAAATTAATTTTACCCTCGAACAAATCCGAATCCTGTATGTGAGTTACGTCCCTGTTCCAAGTGAGTACCGATTTAATTTTCAACCTTTACGTTTGGGACTTAATTTGCGTGCCTGTTTGTAACTTGATGCAGAGTGACTGCCAGGCACGTGGGTCTACAGACCATGTGCTTCAAACACGCAAACTTCGACTTCCCTCTCTTTTTTAACAATTTAATAGAATCAGGATTAGAAATGCAAAGTTGATGCAGGTGACCAAAGTACAATAGAACAAATAGAAATTGGTTTTGACTTAACAAGAAACTCATCGGTAAGTCAATAAACCTCCTTTCATGGAGAGAGCCCCTGGAAGGCACCACCAGCCTGTCTCACCAGCAGGTGATTAAGGGACTATACAGCCTTAGGCCTAAAACCCCTCCCTCCTTACTTTGCTGTTTATTTCCCCCGGGGGTCTGATATCTATATTAGCTTAAATATATATCTTTAGAGAATTCAAGACACTTTTTTTGGAAATGTTTAGGATTGGAGAGCTACTACACAATTTATGATGTCGCATTTCTTATGGCGAGTCAGAGTTGAATACAAAAGTGCTAATAATATAAAAGTAGCTCAGTCAAGACTCAAGATTGGGTGAAACTAAATTAAAAACAGCCACATACTGCCACATCTTCCCTGATTTATTTACCAATGGTATTGGCACATATCGTTTTACTTATATTTGAAAAATATAAATACCTCTTCATATGCAAAAAGCGAATGTTAAATGAAATATGGAATTTTATATAGCTTACTAACTATGAGCCACATGCTTAAACAATGCACACATTTTACAAATCAAATCCTCAATGTTAACTGTCACAAAAGCTTGGTATCCAGGTGCAAACTTACAGGAAAGAAGAAGAGCATCTGCTTCTACTGCAATAAAAAAAAAAAATGCAGGGCAAATTCCTTTTGACAGTTTAAGAGTGACATCACGTCAATCATCAAGTACAAAATGCTTTCTGTTAATCACGAACTTAATTTAAACTTCAGATCTATAGATGTAAATATTTATAACTTTAACCATAACGCACATCTTCTTTCTTGTTTAAAAGTACTTTATCACTCGAAGAGGTATTTATAGTTCTGATTGCACAGAGCTATCATATGTCTCTGTACGCGAGTGATTCAGATTCCCAGATCTTTTCACAGTTATGAAAATGAGAAACTGCTAAGTTAACCTGGGCTGCAGTATGGCCAGCTTCCTGCTATCGTGTTATAAACTGTACATGCACTTCACAAGGGTATACCAAGTCACACACAGCCTCCAATTCTAGAAGCCTCTTCAACACTCTCTTGGTTTAGTTTTGTTCACAGGCAGTAGGAAGTCTAATCAGTACAGGGCGAAATTTTCAAGGGCTGCCATTCCTATAATATGAGTCATTTCCAGCGGCTGAGTAAAAAGCCTGTTTGGGTTTCTGTTTTTTGCTTTTGCTTTTTGGGGAAGGGAGGGAAGGAGAGAGTTTGGAGGTCTCATTATAAGCACCTCCCATTTGTAGTTTATTCAAATGGATTACGCTTAGCAGTAACCCTGCAATCATGGCTGTGTGCTGGGAGAAATCAGAATGCGGCCAATTTATACACCTGTCAACCAGGATTCCGTTGGACTCGACTTTGATGTCTCGGTAGGACAGTGAGTCTGGATTGAGTTCTGGTTAAAAGAAGTCCTTGGTTATGACTTTCTGGATTACTAACTAAAATCTTTTTAAAATCTATGGACATAGCCCACTGCTAGCAGTTGTTTAGGCTTCTAATTTGATTTACATATTAGGTCAGAATTTTGAAAATTATTTGAGAGTTCTATTCTCTAGCACCAGGTACTGATGGCCGCTCTCAAAGAAATCATGTACACGGATGAATCAAATCAAATAATGGTATAAAATGGAGTGTTCTTTTAAAATTTATTTTATAAATGCAAACACTTTTTTTTACAGCAGTTAGTTGCATTTTCAAATTAAGGTCACCCTCATTTTCACCCATGTTCTTATCTTTAAAATCCACGCTGTAAAATAGAAGGCAGATATAATACATTTCTTTTTTTCCCCATGGATGTTTTTTTAAGTAAAAAAAAAAAGTAGGGTGATAATATTTTTTGGAACTTTTGTTCTCCAGATACTCTGTGTGCATGTGCGTAAGTTTGTGAGACTGTGTGCATGTGGGTGGGTGGGTGCATGAGGCGAAAATTCATTTTCCCTCAATTCCATTTCATACTTTAATATCAAATGAAATGTGGAAAGGATATTCCTACACGATTAAACACACTCCTTCTAACTACTTAAACCAGGCATTTGGGATTCAGTCCCCATAACCAAGACTGGAAATCACTGGAAGACTTTAAAATTATTTTAACCACCACAACCAGAGTCATGTATGGAAATAAATCCATTGCGTGGATGCTTTGCATGCATCATCTCAACAGTTAACTGCCCAAATAAGTTTTAAAAAACACAAACATTTGAAATTTGCCATTGAGGAAAATCTCATCTCCATCCTTAATTATGACTCCAAATTTCACTTAAAAAACCTTTCCAATATTTTGAAAAAAAGAAATACTCCTAGGAGAGTCATAAACACTGAAATCAGAGATGCGGTTCTTGTTAAATATTCGTTTCTCTTTCTGAGGGATGATCCTCTGTTCTCGCGCTTTGGACATTAACATCGGAATGGTTAGGTTTGCTCAAGGGTTCAGATTCTGTGGACTCAGGCTTATGTATCTTCTTCTCTGCTTCTGCCAACTTCTTTTCCTTTGCAAGCAATCGATAGTTTATAGCGTTACCAATGAGCAGCCACACACTGGATAGGAACACAATGGCGCCACAGGCTATGTACATGTATTTATATTGTCCAGTTTCATCCACCAATTTACCTAAGAGACAAAGAATACCTTGTAAGATAGTATAATAAAACAGCCATAAAATGATAGCATTTTCAAATAAACTCTTCCCCAAAGTGCATACCTATTTCTTATTTAATATTAAATGAGACTTTAACAAAGAAAATAATATTCTAGATCATGACTTTTATATATGCATAGTAAAGGCATGCATAGGCACATACAGCACTACATTACCAGTGTGTCAAATTTATTGAAATTCAATAAAAATGTACAACCAAGACAAAGTAGATATATATGTGTTTGTGTATATATTCATAAATATATACATGCGTGAGGTACATTTTTGATCTCTGTATGTGTAGAGATAGATATATTTATCAATTTATTTATAGCATACACATTGAGATTGCTTTATCTTTCTATGCTTCCAATCTTTTCAACAAAGAGGGAAAAATTACATTCATTAGGAAAGGACCCAAAGGCTTTTATAAGGTTCCTGGCAGGGCATAATATTTACTAAATGTTTTCTCTGTGCCCAGTACTAGGTTAAACACTTTATCTGTAAGGTCTCATTTAATCCTTGCAAGAGTGCTAGGGAGTACTTTGACCATCATTACATGGCCAGAGAGTGGCAGAATCTGGACTCTAGCTAAGGTCTGTCTGAATCTCATATTCTTAACTACTCTGCAAAATGGCTTAACCAAAGCTCTTGGTTAAGTGTCATCTCATTTTTTGGGCTAATCACAGTTTTTTCTTTACCTGAATCTAAATTACTAAGGCCAAACTAATCAGGAAGAAAGTATTTGTTCCATTTGATTATTGAGACATTTAAAAACTAGCCTGGTGCCATATAATCTGAAGGTTTATTGACTTTGAAAAATGTTTCAGTTGATACTTAGTTTTGCCTCTTGCTTATGCAGGTACCTAATTCCTAATAATTAGTATCAGCAAACTTTAGTGTACACAAATCTGTATTACTTATCATATGCATATTCCAGATGATTCTGATATAGACCTGTTTGTTGAGTCAGAATTTTTAGCATTCTGACCGCAATCTAGTCAGTGGCTCAGTATTAAATTTAGTTACTTGTGAAATTATTTAAACAAAGCTTCCTGTTTTAATTAGGTAAATGGTGGAAAGGTTCATTTGAGTAAGTATGACATATACATAAACATAACAAAAATTGCATAATTTAATTTTCCATTCTAACTGTAGTCAAGTATTTCTATTCATACAACGATTGTTACATTTCCAAATATGGAAACATTCAGTCTACGGCCCCATCAGAGTTAGTATCACTTTGGGCTGCCATCTCAACATACTTTCTAAATGTTTTGGGAAGTTTTTAGCATCATCAAGAATCCAGATATGATTTCCAGCACTAACGCTTCATTCAGCTCTTTGTGAGGGCTGCAGGGAAAGTTTGGGTTAAAAAAACAGAAATAAAATCACGCTCTCCCTACCGTTCACTGCTCTACTAACCAGAGAAGCGGCAGCAGCAACTGTGTAAGAAGTAACTATGACACTCATTCATTCAGAAGTACTTGCTGAGTGCCTACTTGTGCCAGACAGCAGCCTAGCAGTGACCTGATGCTATAGGGGAGAAACCATCTAAAAGTCAAGGAGAACCAGGGGTAGCAACAGGCAGAAACAGAACAAAAAACATGGATCTATTATGGCTGTGGTCTGCGAGCTTCAACAAGGAGCCCCAAGTCAATTACTACCATGGCCACCACTGGTACAATGGTTTGGCAATAATAACACAATAAACACTCAAGGCTCCTGAAATTGATGTAAATGTTAATAATACAGGTTCTCGCACAGGTAGGAGTGGGTAAATCAGATTCCCTCATTTTCATCCTTTGAGCCCACCCACTGTGTCTGTTGACCAGACTTGATTTTTTTTCATCCCACCATAGCAGTGAAAAACAATTTTCTCTGCTGATACTAAAAATTTTATTGCCAATGAATAGGCTTCCCAAACCCATTTGATAAAACTAAATCTGTGTGAAAAGACAGGCCAATTGTATTTGTCTTATATAAAAAAATCAGTTGGCTGATAAATAAGGTCTGCTGGCTTTCACTCTTTGAAAATTGTTTTGGTGCCATGGTATATTCATGGTGAGAGATATACCACCCAAAACATCTGTGCTCGATACCAGCCTCCTGGTGGACAGAAAAAGTCAACAACTACACTGCTCATTCCTGACCAAGCCAAGAAGCAAAAGGTGAAAGGTCACGACTAAAACACATGGAAACATTTGTGTTGGCCCCCCCGCAGTCACTCTGACCACTAGGGGGCAGGCCACAGGTCTAGGTGAATGCCCAAGATTAGTATTAACCGAGACAACATGCGGTGTTACTGGAAAAGACCGGCTCGCAAAAAGTGTTTAATATTTAAAACATTAAAGTCTAAGACTAAACAAAGTCTTAACTTCAAAAATGATTACACATTTGCCTTTACTTAGTCTCCTGGTTGGGTAATTTCGCACAGCTTTTTTTATAGGCATCATTAAAAATATCTCAGATCTTAAAATCTAAAGGTAATCTTTATACATATGGAATATAAGTATTTGATCAAAAAATGACCTTAAATGAATTTCCCTTCATTCCTGCGTTCCATATACATATATACACACACACATATTCCTATATTCCTATCAGTGATATAAAAGCATTCTTTCCTTTGGTGTGTAACAAGTTCCAAATTAACATAACCAATGTACTCCAATAAGAAAATAGATCCTGACCTTTTAAGAACATTATTTTAAACTTTTGACTCATTTTAATACAAGCAGAAGAGAAATCTGCTTACCAATGAAAAAGTGGCATTTTATTTTTCTGATACGTTTTTAAAAACACAAAACAACTGGATATGGGTAAAAGCTTAAAAATTATGCTACTAATTATCAGCCTAACCTAAATTCATATGTTCACAGGTCCAGGCTCTGAAACAAATTTAGGTCCAAAATTGCCAAATTATGAGTTTAAAAATATATGAAAAACCTAAAGTTAACATATCCACAGTCTTTTAGGCTATTCGTATTTATTATTACAAACTACGTTATACACGACAAAGAAAGTCTCAGCTAATGGATATTAATTTATGCTTTTTGCTTTCCTTTGATGAGAAATATTCTTACCGGCAAGAGGAGGGCCAAGAAGAACCGGGCAACACTCCACAATTGTGACAAGTCCCACGGCACTGGAAAACCTTTGAGCACCAACAAGGTCCATGAGAGTTTCAAAGAGGACACTGCTAACACTCCCAAATCCAAGGCCAAAAAATATAGCGTATAACACCAGGCTTGTGTAGTCCTCTGCCAGTGGGCACAAGAGATGACATACTCCAGTGAACATGATCGCAAAACTGAAGAAGTACTGGATTCGGGGTCGGATAAATCTGGAGTTTGCTATTAATCCTACAGAAGGCCTAGCAAACATATCAACAAAAGCCATAATAGACAGCAAGAACGCTGCAGAATACTCATCAATCCCCTTGTCTTTAGCATACGGAGCCAAGAATATAATGGGAGCAAAAAACCCTAGGAACATAATGACATTTCCAGATAAATATATCAGAAATCCTCTATGCTTAAAAAGAGAGAAGTCTAAATACTTATTAATTTTTTCGCTTAGTGACTTCTTATGGCTTTTCTTAGCCTCTGCTTCATCTGCTTTTATGCCAATCTTATTTTTAGCCTTGTTAGTTTGTTTGGGTCCAACGGGTCTCATGAGGGACCCAGCCACACAGGAGTTCAACAATATACCTCCCAAAATCAAGAAGCTTCCTTTCCAGCCAAAAGTATTAAAAAGGTACTGATTGAAAGGAGCCAAGGTACTTAAGAAAACAGGACTTCCTGCCATGGCAAGTCCATTCGCCATGGGTCGTTTCTTATAGAAGTATTTGCCGATGATTGTTAAAGCTGGCTGCAGGTTGAAGGCTAGACCTATACCTAAAAAAACAAAAGAAAAGGACAAAAAACACAAACACATTATGCCAGTCACAAAAGCAATTACTATTCAAAACGTACATTCAAGTGGGGAAGGCAGAACTGAAAATGCAAGGGCAGGCAGTAATTTTTGATAACTGTAAATATCAATAGAATTCCAGATAAACAGAAAGGTTCTCATAACTGGATAGGATATGTATGACAGCTTCATATTCCTTTCATTTTAAAGCACAAAAATAAAGCCAAGAACTTCTACTGATGTTTCAATAATCAGAACAGGCTAAAACTAGGACAAAATTATTAGTTCTTAATTACAATCACTTCCACAGATAAATTAAACTCTCTATACCTATATACACATATACAGAATAGATTTCTTTCTTGTGGGCAAGAATGCATTTAAAATGTGAATACTTCCTTTTTAGAGTTGAAGAAATGTGAAAAGACTAAACAGGTTATCATTTATAAACAACCTAACAAACCCTCAAAGATATTTCTTTCAAAACCATGCAAATAATAAAAAAGAGTAATAAATTCATGCCATTAATTTCATGGTATGTATCCCTCACATTCCCTATTTCATAAATACAGAGGCACACGTATGCTAACTAAAAAAATAAATTTTTTTTTGCTTGAAATATATTCTTAATTCTTGGATTAAGCTGATTGTTTATATAAGTCAAAAGTTCCTACTGTCTAGGGGACTCCTCAGCAGTGTTGAGCATCACCTTTGAGAAATGAATTCCTTCTTAGAGCTAGCCAAAGGAATATTTAGCAATAGTAGTGAATGTTTGTTTGAGAAGTACATAAAATTGATTTATATAAACTACCTCTCTTTCCCCCTTAGCCTTGGTATTATTCTATATTATTTTAGGGGCTATAGAAGCAAGAATTCCTCTGCATTTACTAATTGATGTAAATGACACAGTAGGGCAAAGCCGTTAAGTATTTAGATTCCGGGACACTCAGTTCTGTGTACAAAATACTCATTCCAAACCTTTAATAGAAAGGTTTTCCATGAGTAGGAGGGTCCCTAAAAGTTGACCTGAAGGAACAAAAAGATGCTGTGGAAAGGCACAGGGGAGCGTTCTGATTCTACCTCAGCCACACCTGTGAGAGATGCAGAACAAGCATAGCTAGATACAACCTGTCGGTAAGAAAACTACCAACCTGTGGCCACGTGGATTCTAAGCGGAGGAACCTAAGTTAAAACCCAGGAACTGTGTGTCAAAGTTCAAATTTCTTTATTTTATGCTGCTGCCTCCCCGACCCCTAATCTGTCACCTGGAATTCTGCCTTCAGATGCTAAACCAAATTCTCTTTAGGAGATAGTGGCCATCTATTTCCTATTCTGGTATGGCAAAAAAGAAGAAAAAAAAAGTGAGATTTGAAATCCAAAGACCTGAACCTATTTCAACTACTTGCCTATGTATACCCCTGGACCAAACAGACTTCTTGAGCTCCAATTCCTTCAACCACAAAAAAAGCGTTTTGCCCAAATCAAGTAAGTTCTAGAACTGTAACATGTTATATAAACAGCATTGTGACTATTATTATTTGCTAATATTTATTTAAAAGTAATAAAAGGCTGGGCACTCTGTAAAGTACTACATATTCACTTTTTACATCAATCCTTCCAACAGCTCCCAAAGAGTTATCATTTTCCCCATTTTGAAGACAAAGAGACTGAGGGATAAGAAGGTTAAGTTACTCATGATCACATGGCTCATACGTGCTGAGTCGGGTTTAGCAACTAGACCTGTCTGATTTCAGATAGCAGAGAAGTATTGGTTGATGATTACTGGAAATAAATCCCTGCTATAAACCATATATAATGGTTGACTCTAGAAGCACCAAAGCCTTCAAGACCCAAAGGAATGGAATCGAAGTCAGAGTAATACATAACGCTGTTGATATTTGTGGCACAGTCAGATCAAAATCATCTTTTCCTAATACATCTACTTGCAGGCCCAGTCTGACTTCTATGGCCAAATGCAATACATAGTATTTCGGCACAAAGCAAAGAGCACTCTCTCCACTATGACAATTCTTAGATATAAAAAGATTCTCATCTACAACGTGAAAAGGTGTTTTACCCAATCAAAAAGGAAGAGTCGTCAAGAGAAAAATTTTAACATCACTGTTACTGTGATAAGGTTTTAATACATTTAATTTTTTTTTCATCAAATGAAACATAGGTGCAAGTTTAGACTGATCTAAAATCACTACAAAAAGAGAAATATATTTACCTTTTTATCTGTGGACATAAGGAAAAGATTCAATTTCTTTATATCCTGAAGTCTAATTTTTTTAAAACTTTGAGTGTAGATTTGTTTAACGCAATTTATTGTTGAGGCTAACAAAACAGTGTTTTCAAATGTACATATTCAGGTCAGTTTGAGTCAAACAACTATGATCAAGTGACAGGATGTCATTTAAACACATTTGTGTTTAGTGGCAAATGTGTCTTACAGGGCTTTCCAACTGTTGGAATCCTTTAAGAAGGAAAAGAAGGGACACTGACACAGAGCTCGACCACTGATCAGAGCACAGACAACAATTCTATTGTTAAAGTGAAAACAGTGCACCCAGAAACTTTTTTGGCATCATTTTTAACCTATGAGTTAACTATGAGTGATAATTCGTATACTCTAAATGGTAATAAGTAACAAAAAATAAATTTAAAAAAAATGAAGCTATCTATGCCAGAAAGTCTGTGTCCACAGTACCATCTTAACTGGCTGAAGAGTAAAGATTAAAACAGTAAAAACAAACAAAGCTGGGTTATTTTGACCTTTATATGACGGCAATACACTTGTTTGATAACTCGTTTTGTCCGTTTCCTGAAATGAGTCGGACTGGCCATTCTATAGCTGGTATTTCAATGCACTAGATGCAAATACTTTAAGATAACATCCGATATAACAAGTTAATTCAAAGAAAACAAAAAAAAATTTTCTGTCGTTCGTGTTTCTTACAGAGCTTTGTCAACTGCAGAATGTTAAGAAGAGAAAAAGCTGAAAACGAAACCTCGCTCACCTCCGATGAATCCCACGGTGAGGTAGAGCTCTACCACGTTGGTGCTAAAAGAGGCGGAGACCATCCCCAAACAGCACAGCAGACCTCCTGTGATCACCACCGGCCGGCTCCCGTACCTATTCACCAAAACACTGCTTACGGGACCTGAGGCGGAGAGGAGAGCAAGAAACATTCAGTGGCTGGGGCATTTATTATTTATTTTTAACATCTGTTCATTTTGAAAGTTGAGAAAGCACGTTTTAACGTTCAGAGAAAAATATCAGTTTGCATGGAATATAATGAGGACTTTTCAATACTTCCCCATCAGTTTGACGGGTTATCTTTAATCAGATATATGAAATCACATAAAATAATAAATTAAAAGTGTTTAACATATAGTTTGTCATGACCGTAATCATTCAACTTTTGATAGGAGAGTTTTTCAATGGGACATAGCTAAAATGTCTAAATATCTTAATAAATGCAGGTAAATTTATGTAACAAAAATCTAGGGATTAAAATGACTTGTCTGTGTTAGAATTTTGTTTTCTAGAATAATGTGTGTGTGTGAGCACACACATATATGCCCTTAATTAGAGCTCATTTTTTTTCTATTATACACCACTGTGATTTTTCTTTAATACCATATTTCTTCGATTCTAAGACATCCGTTGTTTTCATATCTTATTAGAAATAAGGATGTCTTACCCTTGATGGTCTCAACAATCCCTGTGCGTCAGGTGGCAGTCATGGTAGTAATGTAGCTATCATGACCTAAGCATGCTGGAATTTGGTTATTTCTGTGGCTTGGCTGGACAATGGTGATACCTCACGTTTCAATCAAACCATTTCAAGACCATTTGAAAAGGAATATGATATGAATCCTGATTTTTATCTGAAAAATCTTCTGTTGACACATTCTGGCAAAATCAAGAAAGTACCAGCAAAACTTACAGAATGTGTCCAGTAGTTTAGATGGAATTACCAGAGAAAATGGTGGATATCTATTCAGTTTTGCTGCCTCACTGGCACAGAGAACAATCTTATGGTGAAACACGAACACTAAGGACTCTGACTCAAAAAGTAATTTAGGAAAGCCAGACACTAAATAGGAAGAAGGTTTAGGAATGCCTTACTCAATTTATTTAACCTACATTTTCTGACATAAATGTATGTGTGTGTGTATGTATAAAATATTCAGGAGTGATTAAAATAATCTATGCTTACCTATGCCTAAAAAAGCTCTTTTGGTAATTACAAAATAAAAGCCTAAGAAAGTGCCGTGTCTTATTTTAATGGGCAGCATTTTTTTCTTTAGTGGTACATCAAACAATGGTGCAACTTAACGACTGAGGATATCTTAGATTCAAGGAAAATCCATATTATCTTATGAGACCTGTCAATGCGTAAATGGTTTGCTTTGACATTTCCTCAACTTAAAATTATATTTCATCTGAAACTAGGGACATTGCTTTGAGAAAAAAATATTACATTTGGTCAGTGTTCTCAGTCCAAAATTTAGCCAAAAAAATAAAATTAATTTTAGTTTATATTGTAATTTTAAAATTTGCTACATGCTGTTGCACTGCACTTGGGAATTTCTAGATAGATAGTATTTAAAATACATTGAGATTTACTTATCAATACAGCCTTATTCTTTCATATGACTAGTTATTATTTTTACTCTTTATAAGTTTGAAATAAAACCTTGGCCTAATAGTATTTAATATTACTGCACAAATTCGTTTGAAAGGATATTGGTAATATATAAATTTAGAAAAGAAAACTCAAAAACAGAATACCACATTTTGCATTTAATACCAAACAAAATAAAACTAAAAAGAGCCATATGAAAAATAGCTCTATAAAAACAAAAGGGTTAGAGGAAAAAATCAACGAAAATTGTAGAAGATGGTATGAAAGAATAGAGTTCTGTCCTTAGTATGGTAAAACTCACCTGAAGAAATTACGTATATATATGTGTATATATGTATATATATAATATATAATATAGCTTTATATATAATATGTATGTGATTTAGGAAATGAGAATTTTTATTAGAAAGCATATAGCTAAATTCAAATAGCCTTTGTGAGAAAGGGAGAGTCAGAATAAACTGACTTGGATTAATTACTGAAGTTAGGTGTGGATTCCTTTTCTCAAAATTGCTTCCCAATTCAATTCAGCTTATGTCACGTCAGTTCAAGGCAATATTTCCTGAGCTCCTAGTATAAAGCTGGTTGATGGCCGCCAAAGATGAAAATAATAAAAACACAACTATAATCCTCAATGTATTATAGTTCAGAAGAAAGAATCAGCAAGTTATTTGAAGAGCTGTGATGGATGCTTTGATAAATGCTAGACTATCACAATGAATTCAAAGGCATTTATTAATTACTTGGACTATTAACGATCTCTTCTCGGTATCATTGACCTTACATATACCATTTTCTATGCGGTGCCTGGATAACTAACAAATGAGCTAAGTGATTACTAAATTCTATAAATGTGTTTGCCTAGATGGTGTACATTTAAATTTGAACATAGGCTATGAATCACAACTTAATTTGCAATATATGGCAAAGAATTCTATCTCTATGTTGAGATAACCACATCAAGACTTTTTTTCATTACTGTGATTAATTAAGGGTAGCCACTAAAGAAAACATTTAGATATGTTGGCATTTTTTCTTTTTGAGGAGGCTTTGATAATTTCTACAGTGGCATCTGTCAAGATGTAATGAGAGCTCTAATTTTAACGAATTATTTTATTTTAAATTATGTATTTTAGTTAAATGATATCCTGCAAGGGATATATTTACATAATTCATCTATAATCTTTTTCTAGCCAAAAAAAAGACATACTTTACAAGTGAGTCATTTAGAAATAATCAAAGCTCCTAACCCCTGAATACCAAATGCTTATAAAATATTTCTAGTTTGTAACAGCTGTGAATAAAAATTAAAATTATGCTATAGAATAAAATGTACTTATTTTGTAAAGAATCTCTAAATGATTAATATTAGCTTGAGGAGGCATCTAACATTAGATGTAAAACACACCACCATCCAATACCTCTCTCCAACCTGTGGGCAGCTTGGTTTATTGTATGAACAAGAAAGACGAAGTTTCAAAAAAACAAACGAATTCTCATCACACGTGATTTTTGTTAAACATAAACTAGCCTCACAGGTGTCTCTTGTTCATGAATCTTAGGCCTAAGAATACTCTGAGGTCACACATTCACCTATTTATTAATTCAATCATTCCAGAAGTCTTTATTCAGCATGTGTTTTTCAAGTAATCATGATGTTTAATCATTAGTTATGTCAAAAAAGCAAATTCTCTACTGGCCGGGAGTTGTATCTGAGCCCATATCTAAGTAGAGCAAAGGTATTGTTCATCAAAATGATTTGTTCTATTTGCTTGTCAAGCAGTTAAAAAAAAGTGTGCAAGAATAATAATGTGTTATTTCACAAAAGTATCAGACTGTACTTAAATCAGCCTGATGTACCCACTAATTTCTTCTGATCCAGTTTTCCAACCCTTCTCCAAATTTTTAGTGTCAAGTATAATAGTCATTTTCACGCTAGTTATGAGGTTGTAAAGGAAGGCTTCATCAGAGAGCAGTGGAAGGATCACAATATTGTCCTCCATATTTCAGCTACTTTGTCTTCTGAAAGCTACTTCTGTCAGCTACTTCTGTCTTTTACGGTTGCGGCTCCATAACACTTAGCAAAAGAACACTTATTTTGGCAAGGAAGCTCTTGTGGGTTCTTATAAATTACAGAGAGTGCTTGCCCATTTTCAGAATCACTGTTGCAACTACGTGGGTAACACACACACACACAAACAAAACACTTATTTAATCTCTATTTCATTTCAGTCTTGTTCATACAGCCCATTCTAAGCTCTGAGAAGGTAGTTGCCACATACACTATTATTATTAATCAAAATTTATTGAGTTATTTCTCTTTGCAGCTGGTGTGCTAATAATTGTACATGCATTATTGCATACGATTTTCATGGCAATCCAATGATGTGATTGTCTAATTAATAAGCTATGTAACAGTTGATAAAACTTAGGCATGCAAAGTGTTTAGGTAACTTGTTCAAGGTCACATCTATCTAAGTGGTAGAATGTGGATAGGAGCCTAGGGTCATCTGATTACACACTTGTACTTTTAACTACCGTGCAGAAAAGAGATGACACAGCAGGACTGAGACTGTGATCCTTAGCAAGGCCGGCTTGCAAAGCTGGCTCTTGGCTGGTGTCTGGGAATTTGGATTTCAGAAGTGTTCCCACCATTCCCTACCTGATGAGAGTGGCTCACTGTGTCTAAACTGTTTTACAAACAATTTGGTTTATGCTGAACATCTGCTTTCCTTGTGGGAGGCTGGAATTTTGATACAGGCTAGACAGAGACCGCCTATGAGACAGTAACCCGATAGAAACCTTAAGCACTGGGTGTCTGATGAGCTTCCCGGTAGGCAACATTCACATGTGTTGTCACAACTAGTTGGAAGAATTAAGTCCATCCTTTGTGACTCCATTGGGAGAGGATCTTGGAAGTCTGCACCTGGTTTCCTCTGCACTTCATCCCATGTGCTTTTCCCTTTCCTGATTTTGTTCTGCATCCTTCAACTGTAACAAATCATAGCCATGAAAAATACATTGTTGAGTCCTGTGAATTTGTCCAGAAAATCATCAAACCTAGGAGTGGTCTTGGGGACTCTGAATATGACTACTATACTATCTCTCTCCTAGTGCTAATTTTGAGTTTTGCATATAGTTATAAATAGATGATTTTCTTGTTAAATATTTTAAAAACATATGACCTACATATATAGGAAGTGCTCTAGTCTTTAGTATATTGCTATTCTGTTCTGTAAACATGAACTCTTTAGTTTAGTGCTTGCTTTCATTTCTTTTGTATATTGCATGAGTACATGATAAATGCTGTGAGAAAATTTGGAGAGTATGTTATGTAATGAACAGTTCATAAAATATATTTGATCAATCTAAAACCATGAATTGGAATTGACTATAAATTTGAGCTATACAAAAGTTTTATGCATAGCATAAACCCTAACAGAAGAAATGATAAACTGCTATAATTTATTTTTCATTTGCTTTATTTCAAATTTGTATATGTGATATCC